AACTTGCTGCGGTGTGAGAAAGAAAGATTGCTATTACCCAAAAACCTAGGATCGTGTCTAAATTGGTATACTGCAGGGGTTGCGCATCATTTGTATGGAGAGAGACGGAAAAGAGATAACAAAGGCCATACCTGCACACTTATCGTATTTTATGGGTCGATTCCGTTAAATTGACCGGCGTTTCGCAGCATCAATAGATATCTGTAGGTTGCAGATCTCTGTACTCCAGATAGTGAAATTGTCTACACACAGGGATACATTTGCATGTATTGCGCTGGGCAGTGAATATTATGAATAAGAAAGAGAAGAGCGTGGGGAACAGACTCTTGAGGGATTTCTGTTGTGATTGGAATTGGGTGGGCTAATGTGCTGCTAACCCTAAAAAGGAAAGGTGTGTTTAGAAGATGATTAGTGATTCCATATACCCAGAATTGTGAACAAGCGGGACATGTAGGACTTTCTCGAAGACTTGAGCAAAATCAGTGTAAAGAGAATATCAGATTTTACCATCATCGTATGCCTTGGTGAAGCTATTTATGATAGCACATTTGCAATGCAAGATCAGGCGGGTAGAAATCGATATTTTTATTAATGGGGGTCTTGTTTTGTCGTAATTAGAGATGTAGACACTCTCTCTACCAGTAAAAGCTATCCGGTTTCTAATCTCCCATGCTCCTCTTTATCTCGGTAGGTATCAGGAAGAACGACCGATTAGTCAAGAGAAAGCATATTGTTCCATGAAGATACCGGAAGTTTAGCCTGAGTACGCTCGAAAGTGTCTGAAAGCGCCCAGTCCACACAACCGTCCTATTCAAGTCCTATCCGAGTCCCATTGGAGTCCGTTTGCACCCAAAACGGGACTCCAATGGGACTCCCGAGAATGGGACTCATATGGGACTCGGATAGGACTCGAATGGGACTCTATAGGACGGCTACCGAAAGGGCTTCTTTACATTCTATTAAACGTTGCTTATATTTCGCCCAGCTCTCGCATGCTCACTTACGACCAAGACTAAACAACATTTGAAAAAACTACGTGATATATCTAAATGCAATCCTTACCAGTGCTAGCTTATCATGCATCATCCTAATCAAATTCAAATTCAAATTCAAATTCAAATTCAAATTTTTATTATGGGATATAACTTACAAAGACTTCGCTTTTTCAAATCCCATAGGGTGTTTACACTTTGGTTCGGAACACGAATCACAATGTCACACACAGTACACTCATGAAATTACAGTAGTAAGGTAATGTTTTTGACGTGCACAGGAGAATATATTATGCAGTTGGGTGTTGAAAAGCAATGATTGCCAGTGCATCATCAAGCTGACGCTTGAAAGATACTAATGTCGGGGCACAGACCACGTGAGGGGGTAGAGAGTTCCATGTGCTGCACACTCTGACTGCAAACGAGTGACGTCTGCAGTCAAGACGGCTCTTTTGGAGTGCCAACTTCAGCGGGTGCCCTCTGAGATGGACGTTGTGTGATAAAACGAACAGAGATTTACATGGATAATGAAATCTACCTATGACATATACAACCCGAACCCCCATTTCAATATTAGAAGTAATTTACAGGGCACATTTAAATGTGTATTTAACAAGAAAGCTGCACAACTTTTACTCAGTGGTCATCAGAAAAACCTTAGGGTTGGTTATCTTTGTTGTACTCTCTTCTTTTTTTCCCTGACCTTCTGAATCCATCTTTGTATTCGCTCACGTACTTTGACGTGAGTTTCGCCCGGGAAATTATTTTTATTAGTGCAGTCTATATATTGGTACACAGTTAGATATTACAGTACGCTTGCCGATGACATTGTAGATCATGCATTTCAGCCGCATCTATGACGGCGTCAAAAATAATTTATATCTAATAAAATTTGAACTTACAGTCTGACTCTTTCGCAAACTGCACTACTAGCGTTTATAGACACTGAAGCGTCTTCGTGTGAAACCAATTGGTTCACTGTCTAAAATGACGCACGAAATGATAATTATTGCCCATAAAACTAACCGAAATGATTTACGGGTGATCTATTCCCACATTCTGCATTCTCTTGTTTAATGCCTAATGAAAACTTTTTTGGTAAATTTTCCTAAACACGTCTTCGTATTGACCACATAAAATAACCACGGGGACTGAAATCTGACAGGGCGAATAATGGTGAGCGCCGCTGAACATACGCATGTGAAATTAGCTCGTTTAAACAAACTTCGAGCTGATTAAACTAGTAGTAAAATACAATTTTAATGGTTTTTAGTAGTTAATGTATCAGTCCAGTAATTTATTCGGTTCAACTTCCGTATTACATAAAATTAAGTATGTAAAGTCCCAACGGGACTCCAATAGGACGGTGGTTAATGGAGGAGTCCCGACGGGACTCGAATGGGACTCAAATAGGACGGTAAACCGTCACGCCGTGCGGACAGGACGAAGGGGTTAGCAAGCGGTGTAGCACTGGACTCTTTCACCGTTTAAAGTGAAGTTACTTTACCTGTGGCAGTGACTTAAACAAAGCTGAAAGATGTAGCTGAAGAAACGGTCTCAGGATATCGACGATCCTGGCGGAATGTATGCTACAAAGGAGAAGGATGCAAGATCGAATGCTACAAGCAACCAATGCCTGCAACCATGCGAAACAGGCAGACCAAAGAACGTGACATCTCTCGAGTATGTTACGCTGTCGGTCTGAAGCCACTACACGCAGATGTATCTCAGGCTAACCTCCTTTAGAATTGAATCAAGAGCTTTAATAGGAACAGTGGTTAAAGTTAAAGAGCGGTGGCGCGGTGGAAGTAACCCACTGACATTTTTTGCATATAGGAAAGAGAAATGCGTCTTTCCAGCGAGAAGAAAATAGTCTCTTGTCCGTATATAGTTGGGGAAATAGATTATTTGAGACAGTTGATATTTCCGCCTATTCTTTAAAATTCTATGTTGCATTTTGCCACAATCCATAGTGTAGTAGTGGTTAATCTCCAATAGGTTGAAGTAATTTTCTTTTCAATTTTTTTCTTAATTACTGGAATCCACGTACACTGAATCACACGTTCATTCCTTCATGTATTTCAAGCCCACCATTCTAAACTGTTCTATGAGAAAGTACAGCAATTTCAAATATACACGAACATATTCTACAGTACATCGCCCAAATTACAACATGCTGATTCCAAGTTCCTTATTGCATAATTGGCACGGGCAACATTCTAAAAATATTTCAAGTACAAATATTAATTGATATATCAATTACCACAATAGAATATAGGCAAAAAGTTCTCGGAGATCCCATCCAGAAGGCGTTTGGGTTGCTTTGCAAAACGTTCACGAGATTTGTGGACAATACAATGACGAGGCAACTCTGTACTGTCTTGGCTTTTTCAATAGTGTTTTACGTCACGTTCTTGTTTTACTGAACGTTGATGCACGTTGCTTCCAGAAACTTCCACCTTGGTCGTTCAGTGCACCGTGCTATTTTACTTTCGAATTCTGTCTTTGGTTAAGGTCTCACGTTCGTCTTCTATTTCATTTACGTGGGCTGCTGAGATCGCCGGTCGTATTGCTCAATCGTTGAGACGCGCAGGGAGTATCGTGGGTCCAATAAATCGTTTGGGACAAAATAGTCAGCGTCGCATGTAGATGGAGCTAGTGCTCCCTAAACAACTCTTTCTATTTGTAGTATTTAATCATTATAAGCCATCCATCCAGCGATTTTAAGGGTTGGCATTATTATCGCTTTGTATAATAATTATGATAGATATACATTAACTTACGGCAAAGGATAACAAGTTGTTTCCACAGAACAAAATAGTACTAATCACATGAGAATTTGTAGATCATGTTCGCGCCGGTCACAGGGTCACTCTTATGTAAAAAACAATATATTCGTCAATTATTCAAAAGGTATCGCAAAATTTCAATAGGCATAGCCGTTCTATCCCGTTTGATCAACTTTGAATAAGATTAAAAATGAACCCCAGGCAATTAAAACTCACAGTCATAAAACCAGTATGAAATTGTAAGAAGCGAAATTTCAAATATTCCGCGTAGAATAATCAAAGAAGATAATACTACATAAGATCATTTTGATGAGGTGAACCATTCATACTATGCACCTGAGACATAAGTTACCGTGTGCACATACTCCATCACCAGTTATATAGCCAGCTGAAGTAGAAACCACGCAAATCTGGATCGCCTCACTCTTTTGTTGCGCATAAACATGAGATAAGATGCTCAGCTTGGATGCCATATGTACAGTCACATACAGCCCAAAATATCATTTTTGAATGTGTCAGACAACATCTTAAGTTTGAAAACGTTTACAACAGAGCAAAGGTTGACCTGAACTTCTGATCCGAATACGCTGTTACGGCGGCATTCGGAAGAGATGTACGTTTGACTGATCGAACAGCAACTGCCAGGTTTATTTTTGTCTATTTTTTGGCCAAAGCCAAAATCCAAATATTCACAAGGGACTAACTCTACATAGGTCTTGTGTTTCCGTGTACAATGAGGGAAAAACTAACCATTCGGCAATGGGACAGTATAAGAGAAATCGTGTGCATGTTGGAGGCCAACCGGATGGCGGAGAGAAAGCGTTGTATTTGTACGCATTAGAGTAATTTAGTTGTGTAAAATACGAAGAACACTAACACGATATCGTACTGTTTATCAGATCAAATATGACACAGTGAAAGTTTTCTCACAACACTGAACTGCTTCATTGGATCTAAACATGGGAATTTTTTGAACCCTACAAACTAATCACTATTATTTTCATGTCCAACAGTTCAGTTACACAGATGGTCTGTTGGTTGTGTCGGAATCGGATTGGTCAGTTGGCTGACTTGAGGAATGTCATGACAACGACCTGACGTAGCTAAGGACGCGACTGAAAAGTTCGTTACAATTCTGCTTTATTGTACTATAGATCGTTTTCACCTGATTGAAGCCTGTTACTCAGTCAATTTTTATTCGCCTTCCGCACAGGACGTGATGACAACCAACGTGGACTATTCCTATCGATATCCGGTCGATCGTGCACCTAGTTTTCCCATACTTCCAAAGGAACAATTCAAATTGGCCAACCAGACAAGCATCACGGGGGTGACCGGCCAGTTTGAGACTGTTTCCACAGACCTTGATTTTGACAGTCAAATATTAGGTCCTGATATTTATCGAGAAAATGGAGAACGTTTAAAGCAGCACACCCCACTGGAACGCAATCTATGCCCACTTTATCCGGGTCAACATCAAAGTTCTTGTGTACAAGTCAAACGTCCGATGGAGCACTACAAACAGTCCGATTTTCATCGTTACCGTCGTCTGAAGGATTATCAACCGAACAAGATCCCCCGGATTCAGGATATTCTGGCATATAGATACTGTCCGACGTGTTGTGCTCTTCACGTGGGCGGTTGTATTGGCTGTCGTCGGAATGAGCGTTACGCTATGCATTACACGACGAGTCGAATGCCCTGGTATCATCCCCAACCAAGTGTACCCTTTGGACGAGGCTACTACAGTTATCTGCACGAGAAGTTGGATAATCATCGAACTGGAAATTTCCGGCTCTCAAAGTATCCTTGAGAGATGAGATTGTACTGAATAGAAAAACCACAATGTTATTCGGCTGCCTTCTAAATCCTCATCATAGAATAACGAACTATATATAAATATGTCCAACTTCTATGCGACATTCTGAATAACTTTGCCTGTTCGGACAGAAAGATTTGTCTCTTATTTCGAGATTGACAGCCTAAACAATGATCAAATTATTATCCATGATAATAGCACAACTGTCTATAATTTTAAACTTTTATGAATGGAATGTTGTTGATGTGGGTAGCACGCAGTGAGGGTTGTACGTATTCATCCAGTGAGGTGTCAATTATAGAACTAGTTACTAGAATCCTCCGGTGACTTCTCCTCTTATCTTCTATTATGACAATGGATATATAAATCGATTAGGGTCAACAACCATTGTGTTTGACTCAAGTACTCGTTTTGTCATCGTATATTCATCGCAGTTTAGATTCAAAATATCTTTCTTATTGCTTTAGTAAACATCAATTAATTCCGCCGAAATCAGTTTGTCTTTCGTACAAAGTATGCATTTCTAATTACTTTTTGCCGGATATGTATACTGATCGGCGAGGGCCATTTTTCGTCTAACCAGAAATGTTTTTTAAACTGACCGCTTCTTCATACGTTGCGAAACTACATTTCCATGACATTTAACTCCCTGCTTGAATCGTTTTGGTGTACATCTATCCATTTCTGCATCCATGACGGTATTATCGATTCGGGGGAAATGTTGATACCACGCCTAAAACAATCATGATTTATGAAGGAAAAAGGATTTTACGCTGTAATTATTCAAGTGGTAGTATTGATACTTGCTGATTAATCGTGTATCGCCATTTTGATTTTCAAAAACAGTTTTCCACGGACGTGTTCACTGTTACTAGGGCCCTTGTCGTAGGGCTTTTACGGTCACGGGTAATTTGATACTGGGATGTAAGAACTGGTACGACGGAATTGATATCCAACACTGAATTTGAGTGTCCGCCTTTAACCATGGATACCGGTTTTCCCATGGTGATAACGCTTTTTACGGCTGACGTTACCCACTAGCACCCCTCTAAAATCTCGTATTTGATTAGCTTCATTCTCACTTAAAATTACTTTTGCCTTTTTGGTGAAGTAATTTTGGAATATTGGGTTCATTTTAAGGCAAAAAATACAATTTGCTAGTAAAAGGTGGACATAACCCTTAAAAAGGAAGCAATACCATGTGT